TATAACTAGGTCAGAGAGAAGTCGATTAAGTACCATCAGAATCCTATCATGAAAGCTGGCAACTTTTAATAATTGATATTCAGAAGTTTAGAGAATAATTACATTTTACACTCATTTTTATCCTCTAAATGGAATCTACTAGTCACTAAAACTGACATGCATTTAAACCTGTTACAGATTTTACTTATATAGATCTACAGACTTTCATTTCAGTCATGATGAAAGTATTTCACCGATAAGCATAATTTATGAATAAAAATGTAATTTACGGAATACCTTGGCAGTGAATGTTGATCACTTCATCACAGTTCGGTCATGTTTAGAAAATCTAAGCAAGCTGTGTGATTACTCCAGGAAACATGGAATGATGTGTTCAAATTAGTACCATCTGTGGATAGAAAAAGTCTGAGGTTTTTAGTCATTCTTAAAGAATGGAAATCTGATTCTCCATGCTAAAATGAGTGTAATCCTTTTTGTATCTGTAATTCAATAGGGCAGTTGCCTTGAAATAGTCTAGTTCAACACACAGATCATTAAAAGAGAAGATACTGGATATAAATGAGGGTTACTGCTGGTCATATATGAGTGACTCTGAGGTAGACCTGCATAAAAAAGTTGTCTATGAGTTATACTACATATTTGGCCTCAGATAAGATTTATTTCTGATTCATCCTTCTAAATACATGTGGACAGAATTTTGTACCGCATGAAAACTAAAAGACTATTTTAATGAAACATAGTTTAATCACATAGTCAAAACTTATTGAGTGCCCACATGTATCAGACACTGGGCATCTGTTCAAAGCCTTTCACTGTATCTGTCACATTGTTGCTACTCTTCCTTTAGCCAGGTTAGAAGTAACTCGGCATGGATCTTGTTTCTTTGTCAAGTTAAAGTACTATCCTGTTTAGACCTTTTCTTCTCTGTAGCACTCATTTGGAGAATACTACAGTCTATGGACCAATATTAACCTGATGAAATTTTTACTGTGCAATGGAGTTTGCCATTAAAGTCTTCTTTTCTAAAATCTAAACATTGGATCAGGGGAGAAAGTTCTTTATAGAACCATGGGTATGTAGTCATCTCTCTTGCTGAAATAGGAAAAGAGTAGCCTCCTCTTCTCCAGTTCATTGGATACCTAATGCATCCCTTGTTCCTTCCATGTCTAGTTGCTTAGTAAACTCTACATAAGATAAATTGAAACATAGAAGGAATGATTGATGGCAGACTTAAAAGAAAGGGAAATGTCACGACCATACTTCCAGCCTCTCAAAGG